CCCCCCCCCCCCCCCCACCACCTTTCCTTCGCTCCCTTATCCTCCTTAAACTCTCTTTTGTTTTCATTTACGTTGGCATTTCTGCTCCGTCGTTGTTGGAGGCTCCAAATGAGTCTTGACTGGCTCGCGGGCCAGTGGAGACGCACAAAGGACTCGGTTCCACTCGCTACAGTTGATCCATTGTGGGCGTCCCACAATGCGCTAATTGGCGATGACAATTAAGCGCGGTCGACACTCAGCTTCGATTTGCGCACGCTGTCCAGCGCGCATCACCGGCGAACGGTTACGCGTCCGAGCCCAGGCAGTTTGCATGTTCAGATTTGAATTTTCTCCATTTTTTCTGTATCCCCCCCCCTCCTCACTGCCAGCTGAGCTCACGAACTGTCAACCGGCGTTCGTATTGGTCGCGTCACTCATTTGGTGTCTCGTTTCTGAGCTTTAGGGCGCACGTATCTCACCAAGTGGAGCTTTTGTTGGCATCACGTGGCCTTCCCCCAGGAATTGGACCGCATCCAGATGTTCATCCAGTGGGACAGCGTTGGCACGTTTTTTGTCCAGAAACATTTGCCCGCTGATATCTCCATCCCAGCTCTCATTTCTTTCCATCAAAAGCAGGCAGGAGTTTCATGTAATAGTTTAAAGCGGTCTTGGGCAATACCTCTCCAGGCTTTCTGAAGTTTTTTGCCTTTGGACATTCGTTTTTATTACAGTCCTTGTACCTGACCATTTCCAGAGGACTGTACTTTTTATTTATCAAGTTCACTTTACACTGCTCTATGAATAATACAAGAATCAAAAGGGCAACTTGACTGATGAGCCAGTATTGTGCCAACACTTAAAAGAATACTTATTAATTAACTTTCTTCCAGTCTTTGACATTCTAATTTTTCCTATTGATTTAGTTCAATTAAAAAACGAAACAAACGAACCAATAATCATCCAACAGACTTAAAAAGGATTCTGTCCACCAGCACTGTGATTCTGAAAAGTCTATTTGATAAAGCATGGTATTTCCCATTAAGCACCACAGTGTCTTTAACAATTGCTTTGCAACTGTTTCATCTGGGTATTTTCCAGATGTGCAACAGTGTGGAGCTGAAGACTGAAAGCCAGTACACACAAATACTCACCTTTGACGTCTGACAGCCATTTCACTTTTCATTATTTTCATATGGCCCACCGTTGTAATAATCACTGTACCGGTGACTAATGGACATAGTCTTTTCAAGCAGGGTGGGGAATATATTTGAAATTTAGCCGTTTAGGGCCAAAGATGTGTTCAGTCCTGCACCCAGTGGTCTTAAGAGCTGTTCAACTCACTACAGTTGAAAAGAGCAGGTTACCCAATAAAACATAGGTGCAGTATGATATACTTACCACTGTATTATTCTGTTAAATTCATGGTAAATTAACAGAAATTGACGGATATAAAGGGGTCAAGTTAGAGAAAGCTGCTGATGACTTTTATAATAAGTATTGCTCCCTTAATATTGCAATCCTTTTAACTTATATACAGCTATATACAACTACTAAAACTTAACCAGCACAAAAGAACACATAAACAGCAATAAGTTTGTCTTTATTGGCATCAGTGGCTCGCAGATCAATCTGAATAAAACCAGACAACACGAGGGGTTGAACAGATTAGAGTAAAAGAAGTCAACTCTTTGTACTTGCATAAAAGTTTGACTGCAATGAAAAGCAATCAATGATTTAAAAAAAGAAAGAAGAAATAACTTCAAATGAGTTCAAAAGCAAAAAAACAACAAAAGTTTCAGTCAATTTTTTTCCTTAAATACTGTACAATACGTTTGTCTACACAACATGCCTGAAACTTTCCCAGTTGTGTCGAAACATCACAACTGATGGTAATTTCCCTTCACACAAGGAGATACAGAGGTAAGCTTTATTCAAAGTTTTATGTTTAAAGTCACCATAAAGCTTAACAAGACAAGAAATAAAAAAAGACATTACATGCAAGATATTCACAGATGTTTGGGTATTCCCCAAAAAATATTTTTTGCAGGATGAAGAAAATCACACAACAAATAAGCAAATGAAGATCGGGCCCAAAAAAAAAAGAATAAACTTGTGAAATAATCCATTCTTTCATATATGGCAAATTATAGAGCTCCAGAGGTAATGTCTGAGGCATTTCCCACTGTGATGGAGTTTGTTATTGTTTGCAAGCTAACCTTCTGTGGAAAATACAATTAAGAGTCAATAGTTAGTACCATTATGATTTGCTTTAAAAAAAAGAAGACATTTTTCATGCTTTTGGAGCACCTGTTTTGTCTCTAAATTCCCTGGATCTCTTGTTTGCGCTTGCTTTTGGCTTAGCTGGGAACAGCTTGTGCTCATCAGCAGCTGTTGAGGGTTGAAAATAAGATGAGGAATCAGCATTTGGTCAAATGTTTGTGAATCAAAATTCCAAGCTGTCATTGACCGTAATAGCACCCTACCGTTAAAAAAAACAACTCATAAAAGTGACAGTTTTTTAACTATTACAGGAACAGAACAACAGAAAGTAGGCGGAGCCTCACAGTTGATTTACCAACTGTTGAGGTCTGTTCTCTCAGTGGTTCCATCTCTAAAACCTTGGGGCTGTTTAAAATACGTAGCCCATGACAGACTTGTGCTTGAAAGTGGGATTAGTACCGATTGGTCCTTTGTCGAGTGAAATTGCGTTGTTAGTAATAATCAGGATTTTATTCATTTTTTAGTTTGGCAAGATGTTTGAGGTCTCAGGTTACTTAAAGTTTGAGCTGTTGTACAGTAAAGTTGTGCTTCAAGTATTATGGATTAGTACAGATCTTAAAAGAGGCAGAAACTTTAAATGAGTCCCTTTAAAACATAACATGGCTCACATTTGTGAAAGACGGGGGTAGTGGTCACACGTTTTCTGCTCGATTCACCGAAGCGTGTCACAGATGTTTCACTAAGACTTCGGCTAACTGGGAAAGGTCATAAAATGTCTCCTTTAAGCGCACATTCAAAATGTTAAACATAGAGTGCTGAGCAAAATGATTTCAGACAGTTTTTTTATGGGTAAAAAACCGCTGACTGTTATTTTTCCCTTCAAACATTAACAGGACACATTCTGTTAATACCTAATCTTAATACCTAATCACGCCAGAGGCATGTGTCATTGACGGTTATTCTTCAAATGCTTTCAGACTCTTGAATGCACACCTCACGCTGAAGTTTTCCCATTGCATGTTAGTCCAATCGAGTTTCATTACAGTAATCTTGAAGAACCCCAGCAGTTGCCGGACTCCACACAAATAACAGCATGATTAATGATAATATATGTATTTTTTTAATTTATGGTAAGAATACTTCTTTCCAAAGGTGCCAAAAGTTCTTCTATTTATTTTTTTGCACAGCAAACACATTGAGTCAGCAACAACATCACCTAAAACTGCATCAGCTCCCAAAATAAAAGGATAAAAACCTAAATACATTGCTCCTGTCAGATTCTAAACTCCCTAAGCCTTAGTTTCAGTCCAAAGTATCCTGCATGCCACATGAACAAGGTCTAATCTTTGCCTATATTTGAATAAATTCAGCAGCCTATTCCCACATAAATGACCTTAAATATAAGGTCTCTTTATGGCTTAAACAAGAGGAAAGACAATAGAGCGAGCGTTGCAACTTTGTATTGTTTGTGGAAAAAACTGCACTTCGTTTAATGACAAAGGGATTTACATAAAGGATTTGAGTAAACATCTCCTGACCTTTACACATGGGAGCAAGTGGGATATAAAGGCTATCTAGGTTGCATAGAGGTACTAAAAGCTAAAGCTGCTATCACGTCTGACATATTCTGCATGAATAAAGCACAAGAGGAAGTAGAGTCACAGAGGAGAAAGGCAACAAATGGAGAATAAGTTACGGTATAGTATTGCCCCTTTTATCTTACAGTCAGACTAATGGAGGGAATAAAGTGAACCTAGCCAGACTGAAGAGTCCGTTTTGTATTAAAAGTCAGTAGCTTTACATTTACATGAAGGATACATGGATAAAAATGAGTGCAAAAAGCTTTCAGTCCAAATCTACATTGCAGTTCGTTTTTGGAAAAGCAGGAAGGGATTTTTTTCCCTGAAGACTTGAATATGACTTCATATTGTGTTTATGATGTCAAAATTCAATGTTAGGTCGCTAAAGGTTTGGAACAGATTAAAAATAAATATTTTCCTGTAACATTTCCACTTTCCGCAACATGCTATAATAACTTTATTATCATAGTGATCACACAAGTGTGATGCTGTAGTCACATGCCAAAATTTGATCTGTGATGACTGAAACCTACCTCATAGTTTTTAGACAATCATTATATTAATAATAGTTGTCAAAAGGACAAATAGGGAAAGTGTGCCATCTAAAAATCTAGAATAAGCCAAAATGCTCAAATATGTCACAATTTTCATAAATTATTTTTGCTCTATGTTTTAAAGAGTGGTTGGGTTGTTTTTGCTTTGTTCCTTCAAGTTTTTGTTACCTCACTCAAAAAGTAAAAATGTGTGATTGCTTAATGGCTTTCAGTTGTAAAATTGCATGTCTTTAAATAAATCTGCATGGCTTTGATGTCCGACTAACATTTATTTAAAATGCTTTGCTAGCTTGTAGAACAAATGCATTTTCAATCCAATGGGAATTATTCTGTTTAGAAATTTGAACCAAAGCATTAATATCCGGCAAAACATTTAATCACCCAGCAAAACCTTTGTTCCCAATTACTTTGGCAAATTGGGTGTAAATGCATCTCGATTTGAGATTGGAATTATTTATACACTTTCAGTTTATTCTGTCCGGGAGTTTACTCCAAACAAATGCATAGAAGTGTATTAAGCCACAAAACAAGAAGGATGTTGTATTTTGTGAACTTTGTGAACTCGGCAGCAGAATGTGTTGCAGGATTTTCTGTTGATGGTTCGAGATACATTTATTTTGCAAAATCAGTTTGGAAATAGAGGATTTTAAATTTGGACTGTTCTTTGGATTGCTGTAATCCTGTCTCCTGTCCACACTGAAAAGGTCCTTTGTAAAATAACGTGGAACAAATCCTACACTCCTGATTCTTTACAAAAACATAGTCAGTTCCACAGTTTATTAGACTAATATGAGGCTTCGGCTCAGACCAAAAAAAAAAAAAAAGGGACATCTTTAAGCGTCTTTTGTTCAGAGCTTTTCATGCTGAGATTTACCGGACCCCAGCAGTTGAGACCCCGGGGGTCATCACTCCCTGGCCCAGCCCAGCCCACCCTGCACCCGGTCTCGATACTCCTCCCCGTGAGTGCGTTGCTACTGCAAAGCCAGAAAGCAAAACTCTCTGTACAGGTTAAGTCACTGGCCAATCTTTGATCTGACCCTCCCCCATGGTCACGTGATCTGGGTCGGGGCCAGAAGAACGAGACCCCCTGGTCGCCTTTCTATGGAGGTCTTCTGTGCACATCCTACACAACACCCAGGGCAGACCTAGGACTAGATGGAGGGATGTATATCCCGTCTGACCTGGCAATGCCTTGGGATCCCTGAGGAGGAGGTATGGAGTGTTGTTTGGGAAATGCCTGGGTTTCCCTCTTAAAACTGTTTCCCCCACGACCCAAATAAGAGGACGAAAAGGGATGATGAATTGATTTTACCAACCCAAACAAAAAAATAAGAAACTGTTTTTAATGTTTCGATTGCTGTTATTTTTTGACAAAAGAAAAAATGAATAAATAAAAGCAATGCATTTTGCCCTGTATCACATGATATTGATTTTGATATATTGATATTTGTATTGGAAAAGTATTGGACGGATAGGAGATTACAACTGACAGACCACTATTGTTGTAAATAGTAAAACTTGACATTGCTTCAAGATGGACACACAAAGTGTAAACCTATCCTGTTAGATTTAAATTGAACTCTGAGTGACACGAATGCAGAGCACTTTCTCTATGGAAAGAAATGATTTAATTCGTGCTCTGCAAAAAAGGCAAAAAATCTAACAAAAACATTTCAGTTTGCCTTAAAACAAAAGAAAAGCAACACATCTTGTGCTTTTGGATAAAAAAAAATAGCCAAATGTTTATAGTATAATACTTATTTTCTGTCCAATGACTAACTGTTCCTTTAGTAAATATCAGCATGGCTTTAAGAGCAGAAGATTATTATGAGCCACCGACATTTTTCAAGTTTTTGCTCGAATTCTCTAATGGTCTGCTGTGATTTTGTATATTTAACCCCTGGAATAAGACATAGGAGTAAGTCTGGATGTGTGTGAATACGAGTTATGTGGTCCGTAAAGCTTGACGCAGCAGCAGGTTTCTTCTTGCTCTTTACAGTAGGGCGACGGAGGCTCAGCTCAGGAGTTTGTGTTGGCAGATGCACACAGAGCAACGCAAACCTGGCAGTGCATCAAAAGCTGCACGTGTCTCATTTGGTCAAAACTACGATGAGTTCTAACCTGCAAGACACATCGATCAGAAACGTGGGGGCTCTGCGATGCCCTGTGGGGGTCGGTCTCAGGTGTCCTGGTAGGGCAGGTGAAAGCCCCCGGGGCTGTCGTCGTCGGGCGACCAGAAGGAGCACGGCCTCTTGTGGTGGAGCTCTCTGCGGACGCAGCGGGGACACGGCTGTGCTTTCTGACGGCACTCGGTGTGAAAAACGGCGCCGCAACCGTCGCACCTTCGAGAGACAAGACAAAAGTTCAGATCGTGATCGAATCCTCACAAAACTGGTCGCGGAAAGCTTTAGTTTGATTTAACTGCTAAATCTGCGCTCCCATTCTAATATCCAACAGTGTGAACAATCAAAAGACTTTTGGGTGTGTATATGCAAGTTGTGTGATTTGTGGATAGGTCATATTGTGATGTAAGAACCCAGAAACACAATGGAAAAACTTTACAAAGCTTCATAATACGTTCAGCTTATAATGAGCTTTCAATTTACCACTCGGCATTAAGAATTAGGAATTCAAAATCTGTCACTCTGAACTGTTCTAGATCATTTTGCCTGAAAATCTTCTCCTCCTACTACTACTCTGAGCATTTTTGACAGTGGGCCAATTTATGTCATTTTTAACCAAACACAAGTTCCTAAACTAAATTAACTTGTTGAAAGTATAGGGAATGATCGGAGAATCAGTACCTGCGGGTGGCATTTTCCTGGAAGGGATATATGACCTGTCCGTTGTGGCAGAGCTCACATATAAAACCCTTCTCTCGACACAAACTGCAGCTGAGCACATGGGAGCTGGCAAACTTGATCACCTTGGACAGGAAGGGGGCCAATTTCCCATCGATCACCTGGATGGAGGAGTAATGGGAGAAAAAGAAGAGTGCTATAACATGTTTGTTTCCCAAAACAATTTGACATTTGAATCAGACACCCTGGTAAAAACCAGACGCCCGGTCCTCTGTTTGCTTCACTGACCTGAGAGATAGCCTTTTTAGCAGAATTTAGCACAGCGTCCATCTGAATAGGTTTTATGTAGCTGAACAAAACAGCTAATTACAGCAAGAAAATTATTCCAAGATTCCAATACTTTGTCAAAATGAGGCACTAATTTTAAGACTTTTTATCCCACATTTGACACCACATTGCAGCATATTCATGATAAAGACTCATAAATTCATCAAAAAAATACAGTAGAAAGCTGATATGTTGGAAAGTTTTCTAAAAACCCTGATAATGGAAAATGACTGTAGAAAGCCCAACAGTGTGTATGTGTTTTTTTTACTGGCTGTTGTTCAGAAACATACATTAGCTGTCCATAAAGTGCAAAGTATGGGGATAACGCAGTCAGACACACACTTCTTCTAGGTTATAAGAGATAAGAAGGATACTTTTGGTAATTATAATCTGTCTTAACAGTAAATAATATCAAACTTTGTCGAAAGGTATACAGTAAGGAAATGTCTGTCTAACCATTAGAAGAAGGCGGCCTGGCAGCCTTCCAAGAGAAAACATTCCCGGCGGTAAATATGGGGATTCACTATTTATTTTTTTTAGTAGAATTTAATTTCTACAGCTGATATCATCATAAGGTGGGAAACAACAAACCATAAAGTTGTCTTTGGTTTTGTAAAGAAGGGGGCAGACAGCTGGAGACAGAACTGAAGAAAAGTTGCGAGTTTCTTAAAGAGATGGGAGGCAGTGGGGGTGAAGCTGTATTGTCGAACAGACTACGGATGACTGCACCAGAAAAACGAAGAAGAGGAAACTCTTTGTCGTGTCGAGCCAGTGAGGCAGGCAGATAAGCACAAGTCGGACAGAAACGGGGAAAAAGTAACAGGAAAACAGAGCATAACGAAGGAGTGGCAGAGATACAATAAACAGGAGATCTTGAGAGAGACGCGAGAGCCTGTATTCAGATACAAGTGGTTCCACCTGGCAGAGCTCTGGACCTCCCAATTATAACCTCCTTCACACTGTTCGTTAGATGACGAGAGGGCCGGAGGAGGACGGGAGATGGAAGAGGAGAAAGAAACAGCACACAGATGATACGTAGCACTCCAAGGTATACTGATCATATTTGGACTAATTTATGCAGCAGGGCTCTAGACTACCACCCTGTCAGGTCTTAGTTGAACTTTATAACCAGTACAAATAATATACAAACCACACTAATTCGGGACGGTGACATCCTGAACAAATATGAACATAAAAAGGAGGATAAAAAGCAAGGTTCTTGATACAATAAATGTATTTTGAGCTGCCTATGTGACCTGGTGTCACTGGGTACTCTGAGGGCCTTTTTCCAATCAGAATTTGAACTTAATGTATTTGCTTTCGGCTGGTTGGAGGGCACAACAGGCAAACTCCAAACAGTGAGGACAGAAACCCTCCTACTGTGAAGGGAAGGCGCCTCCTATCACACGGCTGTGAGGCCCCACAGTCCAGTTCACTCGTTGAACTCCGCATGATGAAAATGTGCCTCAATTCCTCGTTTTATGCAGAATTGATAAAAAAATGTGCTTTTGTTGCACCTCGCAAGTTAACAAAAAGAGGTTCTGCTAATCTGTACCTTCAAAATTTGCTTCATCCAGCCCATGTGATATGAATAACTCAAAGACTGTGGCTCTATTGCAGGATTCTAGGGTTTAATCTGAATGAAGTAGAAACAAGAGAACAGAACCTCCAGAAAAATAAAACAATCGTAGTTGATTTTTTTTCTCTGTATTGTCTAAAAGGACACTTACAGCTAATATGAAGCTTTCCTGTGAGGGGTTTAAACCAAGCGGCTGCTGTTTTGCAAGAACTGGACTTTTACTCAAATCTACAAAAAAAGCACCAAAAAAGTGCCAAACTGTACATCAGAAAACACACTCAGTTTAGGACATAATTAATGTTTTAAGGTGGCAGACAGATATATATGTCCCCCTCTGTCCACACAAAACCCCAGTTGGCCTGTTCAGTCTGGTTCAGCCAACTCCGCATGATGAATGACTCTCCTGATGAAGGCTGACTAGCTCAGTAATTAAGGCCCACTATAATTGGACTGGGCAGAGTCAAACGAGTGGCAGCACCACTCTGGTGACTGACTGGTTCTCTGGAGGGTGGACGGGGAAGGAGGACGAAGGCACACACACAAACATGAATGGATGGATGAAGAGTGACAGAAGTAAATAGGTGAAAGGGGCACAAAGAAAATGGAAGAAAACAAGTCAATTATTTCCAGCTTCTCGCACTGGTTGCAAGCTTGTATGCAGATTTTCATTAAATTTTGGTTTTTAATCGCATTCAGTTGTAAGAGGACACATATTGTTGACTCGAAATTCCTATTTCCCTGATGTTACCGCTTCCATAAATACTCGGTGACCATTTCATTAACTACAGCAAAGTACCAGATGGCAGTAGGGCAGCACTGGGACAATCGATCAGATAGCGCCTTGCTACTTACACAGGACAACCACCAAGCCAAATATTGATGATGGGTCCGAGCATCTGAGCAAACCAGCAGATGTGTCAGTGCATGGAAAACATTGGTCCACTAAAAGTCAAAGTTGTTGATACGATTTAAATGAACCACAACGGTTTCTGTGCATCCAGTAGGGAAGAAGCCAACAACAGTGAAGCCTCTACCTCTCCTTTTGCAGACCAGCCAATCTTCTTAAGGTTTTTGCTAAATACTGTAACTAAGTCTTCTAAATCTCTAAAATGTTAAAATTACTCAGATTGTGTTTGCTCTTAGTTTTTTTTTTTTTTTAACTAATAGTTTAGATTTATATTTGAGGCTCCCATTTGACTGGATTACCATGTGAAGCATTTATCAATTGACCAGGTATTTTCACTGTACAGACTCAGGGACTTGGTGTGGCTCCCATTAAACAGTATAGGAAAGAGGGTTGGATAGTTCTTGAGTTTCAGAGTAGTACTATCTCCTCTGGAAGCTCTCTGAGGATCAGCTCACAGTTCAAACATAAACAGAAGAGTTAATCTCTTCTATGCCTCCAAGAAACATAAAATGCTATGACCAGAATACTGACACATTCTATCACTGAAATTAACATCAACCCTATTCTCTTCTCTTTACACTGACTCCCAATAGATTTCAGGATTCATTTTACAGTTATGATAATAGCATACAGGGCAGGTGGCTGTGGCTCAGGGGTAGGAGCGGTTGCCCACGAATGGGCAAGTCGGTAGTTCAATCCCAGGCTACATATTGAGGTGTCTTTAGGCGAGACATTGAACATTGAACATTGTATTGAGTTCAACAGAAAAAAGGCCCCCTACATCCATCTGCTTAACCCCCACCCTCCCCCTCCACCTCCCCCTCCCCAGTTCAACCTCCCATTTTGCTCCACGCAGAGTCTTTGTGCTGTGAAACCTCCTAATCCCCTAAAACTGATGTTTAACAGCCGTTAGTCTGCCCTTGTGTCTCTTACACACTCATGCACACTTTCCCCCAACACCAGTACACTCGCATCTACAGCTTCATTAAGAAACTAGCAAGGCCGACTGGGATTACTTGGCTCAAGAGACATGGGTGAACTCTGTTTGGAAAACACACTTTTGACGGTCACGTTCACACTCAGGATTGATGGTTGATGGACTTTAGATGTCGGTGTGCCAACGGATGCATCTGTCCTACTATCTTACCTGGTGGTTCCTCAAGTGAGACACAGACAGACATATTTATGTAGAGACGTCTGATCCTTTTTAAGATCTGGACTCTGTCTGGACCATTGTAACAAAACACTCAGTTATCATGTTGTAGATTTGATGGCGTGTTTGGGAGTACTGTCCTGTCGCTTGAGCTAATTGAAGACAACTCTGGTTGTCAGGTAGATTGCCTCACATTTGACCCAAGAACACTTGGGCATACAAAAGATTTCATGGTGGACTCTGTGACTGCATGGTCAAAATCATCAACCCTCAACCACCGTGCTTGACAGTTACAGATGTTGTGCCGTGCAAAATGACAAAATATATCCACTTTAGAGACATTCGTTCAAAGGACAATATTGCAGATGTAACTTAACAAACCGCAGGCACTCTCATGTTTAAAATGTTAATTGAGAACTACAAAGTCTGAGATTTGGCTCTATACTATAGGCAGTAGTTTAGGTTATAAATAATATTTCTCATTGTAGAAAGACAATGAGAAATATGCCTAAATTGTTTGGAAAGTAACTAAGAGATTGTGTACTTTTCCACCACACAGTTCTTTGAAAAAACTAACTGCTGGCAATAATACCGATTTTGAAATAGGAATACTAATTAACCCTACATATTACAAACATCCCATTAGGGCATCAATCTAACAGGCAACAGCTCTGACTAGTTTCAGGATTTCAACAGATAAAGAGACTATGATGACAGATGTTAATTTTTGTTGTAATGAACCATTTCAGAAAGAATAAACATGGAATTGTCTTTAAACACTGACAGTAGATGCTAAGTGACCATAATTAAAGTGCGAATGTCTTAGTCTGCCATTGATTTTTTACAAACTGTGATTCCAAGTAGCTAGACTTTGTGCTCTTAAGCAGCAGATCTTGAGGGCTTCTTTCAATTTGCACTGATGGAAATACAAAAGAGAGCTTTCCTAAAATGTTCCTTAAATTATATTGAGCTAAACTTATGAGAAATAACTGAGGAATTGTCAATAGTGGATGTCAGAAGTAAGGCATCCTAAACTTTTGAGACAATCATAGATTTGACAGACTCCAAGTGTGAAGGAATTCATCTAAGCCCTTTCATACCTCCACTGAAAATGTAATCCACTGAACAAAATCAGGGAAACAAAATAGGTTTTTTATTTGTTTTTAGTTTTTTGTATGTTCTCATCTACATTGTCCTTAGCATTTAATGTACATTTGTGCATGTATGGGGTTAAGTTTCCCCCACACTCTGGAAACTGGAAATCTTTCTGAGAACACCTAACATTTACTTAAGAGGTCTCTGGACAAGTGCGAGTTGAGAGGCATGCCTGGCATACAGGGAATGCCACGGTGTGGCTGTGGGAAGCACACTGCCCGCAAGCACTCACACAATTTCATACTACTTCAGTCCTTACACAAAAACCATAGTGACCATCCCGAAAGCCAGCAGAGGAAAAGGGAAGAGTGTCCTTAGACAAACACATATGGCTTCTACAAAATGAACCACTTCCTAATGGGAGATGGGTGGAGGCTATTTGTCAGGAGGTGAAAAGACTAGTGTGGTCCAGGATTTAGCCTGAGGGCCTCAGCCTTCACTGACCTCTGAGCTGCAACAAAAAAAAGCCATGTTGCTCGAGTGCATCATATTATTCAGGAGATGAATACAAAGGAAAAAAGCCTGTTAATATTGAAAACCAATTAGCAGAGTGCTCGAGAATCTCAGAGAGCGGGGGAGAAGAAGGGAAGGCCAGACTCTACAAAAGATTTATACGGTTGAAATTAGTGCTAAATCTCTGGTTTTTGAGGTCTGTGGGTGAGTTTTAGAGTGTAAGCAAGGGGAGAGAAGAAAAAAAACACGTGTGCTGAGCGTGTGTGAGAGCAGGGAGATGTTGGGAAGAATGAAGGGATGTCACGCTTTGTTTTTCTGCCTGTTGATTCTGAATGTGACCAATTAGTGAAGCAGAGAGACACAGAGTGTGGGAGTGGAGGAGGAGGGGTCCAACCTCTTTCACCGTGAGAGTCCAAGGCCGCGCTCTGAGTCAGAACGGGATGAAAGAAAAAAATGGAGCAGGGTACAACATAATGAACATAATGACAAACAAAAGAACTTTTCAGTCATTTGTGGCTTCGTTCCTGAGACCCCCCAACTCAGTCTGATGGCTCCATGCTGAATTGCCAAGAGGCCAGGGTGTGTTTTTTTTTCTTTTTGGGTGTGTGTGTGTTAGTCTTTGCAACAAAAATGAGAGTCTTTCATTTTAAACTAAAAACATTTAAATGCCTCAGAAAAAAATTCCTTAATACATTAAACAGAGGTGTGTATGCACATGTTCAGAGGGATAACAACTAGAAATCTAATAACAAAGATTGATGATTAAATCAACAGTAAAACACTAAACTATCTTGTAACAATAAATTTCGAGACTGATCACAATTTTCAGGAGGTCAGATCTGGATTTTTCCCCCATACTGTTACACAAGAAAGAGCCAAAGCTATACCAAATGAGGCGACTGGAGGGTACTGCCCTCTTTTATTGCTGTTATAAGATGAGCCCATCCCCCGTGACTGTTTTTGTTAACAAATTAGCCATGTATTACTCATTTTCTCTGCTCTGTTTGCACCAAATTAAACCTTGAACGCCTTTGGCCCTGTGGAAGACATTGCCATCCAAGGAAAGCAACAACAACCTTGACGCTGGTCTCAATGCTCACTATGTAGGAGGCCATTACGCCCTAAGAATGTGGTTGTTATGTTTTGAGACATCTTTAAGATGCCCACTAGCTCAGTGGTGTCCAGGATAAAACACGTTTATAGCCTTATCTAAAATACAGTTATGGTGAAAGTAAGTTCCACATCCCTGACATTGATTTAGTGGTTTACCAAAGTCATATTTAACACCGAATTCCTACACATAGAAACATTTCCAACCCGTTGTTTAGCAAAGACTATTTTTTCTGTGTAGATTCCCAGTCATTCAGGTCATCCAATCCTAAGAGCTTGAGTAAAAGACAAGCGGGGCTCTTGGAAAACTAAATTTTCCCAATATTATTCCACCAACAACTGGTTCTGGTCCAACAGTAGTGGCAGTGGCATTGCATTGGACTATTGTGCACCCCATAATGCATTCTTGTGCCTCTGTTCCTCAATATGCGCAACAATTGATGGCACATTTATGAGCAATGGACAAGGTGCACCAGCACTTTCAGGCAGGGTTTCACTATAGGCACAAACAAAGATTGCAAATGTATGATGCAACAGCACAAAATCCTACATTCACAAAATGCCCTGGTCTGCGTATACAGGGCTAAATGAAACAATCTTATCGTAAATTATAAAATTGGTCCAGCAGCATCTACCAAAACAGATGAAAATATAATCCGCCAGTCAATATTTGCAAATGATATGTAGTTTAAAAAAAAATAAAAAAAAGATGTGCCGTACAAATCACATATTGGAATTCTAAGATAATGGTGTCCAAAGCATTAAGAAACTGTAACTGCTATTTATCTTTTAGTTACAGTTTATTACCGTCACACATTGCTGAAACTGCTTCTACAGTATTATGTAGATATCCTGGAATACTACAAGGATAAAGGGAGTGTCACTTCCATAGGAAAACAATGCTTTCTGCTCTTTAAAATCGTATACATTGCTAAGCTAAACAGCTAAATTTGCACACCTTTTGTCCACAGAACCATTCACCAAATCTTTTCTTAAATTTAAGAATTTTCACATGTAATATGATTTAACTGATGAACCCTTAGAGCAGCTTTTTTTTTTAAACTGAAACCAATCCTGTGAAATAAAATTAAAATAAATCGACACTAGTCTGTAGTGAAATTTTACTTCAGAGTGGACTGCAGGTAAGTGATGATTTCTGGTTCTTTTGTGTTGTGTGGGCATGGGTATTTTTACCTGCTGCAGGTCAGCCAAGGAGTACAGGTGAATGTGCTGTAGCAGGTATTCCCTGGGAAAAATCCTATACACACACAAAAGAAAAAAAAACAGCTGTGTTATTTTGATGTAATATAATATAGACAGTTCTTTTAGATATATGTGCAGACATTTGCATTCACACAATTCACTCAAAATTAATCACAAAATTGAAATTTAGATACTCATTTACATATATTGTTGATGTTTTTATGGTGATTAAAAAACATTTTTACTCATCTGACATTTATTTCTAACAAATAACACTTCAGTTATTCAATATTAACAAATAATTATTCATTTTGTCACAAACCTTTGTATGGGCTGATTCATTTAGATGTATTAGCCTAACATTACTATTGCTATTAAAAAGGTATTTTTAATAGCACTGTTATAAACAGTTGATGAAAACAGAGAGCACCTGTCATTAGATTTTAAAGTTTAAAACAGCACAGTTGGGCTTATTTTACAAATTTATGTTGTCCTTAAACGCAGAATAGTTTGTAGTCAGGATTCAGATTCAAGGTGTGACTGCTTTTAGGTTATAGGTCAAAGGTTCACCTCACATTGACCATCGCATGTGTGCATTGCATCAACTAAGATTGATGGCACCGTGGCAAATCCTGTCTAAGGCCGTGATGAGTGTCGGCTAAACATGGACGTGTGAACATGTGTGGTCCAGACACCTTGTTGTGATAGGCAGCACTGATAATCGACCGAGTTTGGCGTGTAATAATGTCTACGGCATCAGCATTAGTGACACAACAAACACAGACGGGTTCTTTTCAGGTCATGCTCTATTAACACAAACCCACATTGCGTGCTGAGCTTGATAAAAGCATTTAACACTTAAGGATTAGGTTTCAAATAGCAGACGGGAAATTGCGCACGTGGGCAAACACGACTGGCGACGCCTTTATTTCAAACTGACAGTGTCTTAAATCTGTACCTGTTGCTGCTGCCACTCCAGCAGACACCCCCTTTCCATAAAACTCTGTTATCACTCGGGGATTATGGTTGTGTGCTGAGGGAGTGTCAGATTTGAGAAAGTCCTTCAAATGTGTGTGTGTCGCTCCGTGTGGACGTGTTTGCGCAGAAGTGACAGACAGGCTAAGCTGTTAATGCCAGAGCGGAAAATCTTATCTGGAAAGGTTATTAAGATAATTCAGTGCTTGACAAATTTGTCAACCAAGCAGCAGACAGTTAGCATTACATCTAAATGGTGTATATTGCCACCTGTTTATCCTTGGGCAAGGCACTGCACCTATATAATGAGTGAGAATGCGTTTGCTAAGGGAAAAGAGCTCTGTGTAGCCTTTAACACTCTATTGGATAAGACCTTCTGTAACAGTATGTGTGTAAATGGGTGATTGTTGCTTACTATGTCACAATTTGCCATACGGGTGACACCCATTTGCCATTCAACACTAATTAGTAAATACGTACTCTGATCAATCGAGAAATTACATCCAAAACAAAAAGACATTCAGCCTCTGACTTTCTTTGGGCTTTTTTGGACCGGTAAGATTTACACCCATAAAATTGTTAATATCACAGTTAAACTAATGTCAGAGTAGGACACACAAATTTTCATAGTTTTATGCGAGTTAAGAAAACAAAGTTTTCAATATCTCTGAGGGGGAAAAAAAGTTTAAACCAAAGCTTGCAAGAGAACACAGTCAGTTAGGGCTGCTATCTTTCATTGAAGATTCATTATTTCCCACAAACTTCTGACTTCTCAGGGGTGGGCACACAAGAAAGCAGCCATTGATTCAGTTTGTTTGGTGGGTCAAAACACAGATTTTACTCAAATGCTTACCTTGCATTTACTCCTTTAGAATCATAGCAGTATCTCAGTCTCAGACAATGTTCTGAACAAGACTGTTTTCCATACTTTGAATAGATTATGTACCATAAAACAGTGTCTACACTCTGCATTACGTTGGTCAAAGGTAACTTTGTAATTCCAACCATAATTGTTTCAGACAATCAGGTTCAAGACTTTTCACAGGGGAAAAAAAAGCTTTTCCCTGACAGGCACTCACTGTCATTCACAAGGCCAAAGGGTATCACCTCCACTACCAAACCAAACGTATGTGTTCCACTGACAGCCTTTTCCACAATAACCATCCTCGATTCTATGCAAATCTGTTTTCTTTTCAGGTGCCGCACCACAACAATTATATTTGCCAACCTGCTTGGTATCACATCTTAGACGGTTTAAGAAATGCTGCACAGGAACCCACACTCTAACTTTTAGAGTCGGAGCTTTGTGTTGGTGTGTGTATTTGACCGTGTGGGCCTCCGCATGCACACGGCAGACGGTTCTTTTCAGACCCTCCCTGAGGTGGACTGATGAATTTAGGAAGGTTTTAGCGCCACGGCCCTCATCAATCCTGCAGTGTTTGGAAGTGGCAGGGCGCTGGTTAGCATTAGTTAATGGGCACAGAGCTTTGTGACGCAGCTCTGCTTCCAAACATGCAATTTTCAGGGCCTCTTTAAAAAAAAAAAAAACTGTGTTATAGTCCATGCATCTGATGAACCTCCAATCAGAAGTTGTTTGTAGGCTTCATCACGTCCAACTTAAGCAGCAACTCCTTCCTTATCCTTTCAAAAGCACTGAAAATTTTGATACTAAGGTATTTTTTTTCATATTGAACATGTTTGCGCTGAGTGATCGATCACTTCATGCTTATTAGCTCTTATTAGCTTATGGAACATAAAGGATGGAATACTTTGAGTAAAATTATAAAGTATAAGTAAAATATAGAGTACAAATAAAGTAAAATTATACAGTTTAACATAAAACTTGGCTTTGATAAACATTAAAATTCAATAAGATTGAGGCTGAAGTAAGTTAAAGTCTATCTTTTGATCTTCCTTGAGGAATACTTAGTCAGCTCAGCATGCATAAGTGACCTGGGAATGGTGGAGAGGCATCCATCAGAGCAGAGACTGGGCTTTCAGTGTGGGACCCCCATTCAGATAAACAATCAGCCTCTCTGACCAGCACATTTAGCTACATATGATGAGCACATACACACCATTTAAAGACAAGTACAGAAATGCATAGAGATAAAAGTTAAGACAATAAACACAAATGAACTCAAACACGCATAGATAGATTCAGAAGAGATCAACAGTCTGTAGAGACTATTTAGGTGCACCTAACTCTTAAATTCAACCCACCCCAAATTACAACCCTAATTATCTGAGTGTTTATTAGCAAATTAAATGACTTGTGTTGTTTTGCTTTAATAATATGATAATAATAAGTAAACCCTTGGAATCAGTGTGTTCTCTGTTTTTTTGTTTGTACAATAGCTATTTTTTGCTGTTTAAATATATCATTAAATAATTGAACAGACTGAGTCTGAGTCCTAAAAACCCTCTGCAACATCCTTCATGAAACATTGTGTGTGTGTGTGTGTGTTTGTGCTCTGTTTAACTCGAGTTTGTCTTCTTATTTGGATGTCACAACAAATTCTATTTTCTAGTAATGTTGTGGAAATTTTTGTTGTTGTGTTTTGCAGTTTTGACAGAAATTAACTCAATATTATTCTGAGGATATTTTGACGGAGGCTAAACTTTTGAATACTACCTGCAGCCCGTGACGATGTTTTGCGGGGAGATATCGGTTCATTTTAAGTTGTCAAAAGCCAAAACAAATGTGGAAAACGTGTGCTGCAACGTCAGTGCTGAAGAAACAAACCGCACGACTAAAACAAATGCACCTTCTCCGGAGATCCTCGGCGACAGTGGCCCTGCAGCTGAATAGGTAGGCCCGCAGCGACTGAAGCTGCTGACGGAGGCGGAGAACTGTGCTCAGAGGCTCACAGTGTTCGTACAGGCAAGGGTTGAGCTGCTGAATGTCCAGCAGTGGCTCCTCATACACAAATTCCAGGAACTCTTTGGCCTGTTTCGACACCTGGAGAAGCACGCAAGAGTTCAAATCAGTGCACCAAGAAGGGGTTACATCAGGGGCAAACTAAAACTTTATTGCTTGTGAATAAAGAATCCAAACTAAATTCTATAGTTTCGTCTAAGTACTTAAATTTTAGTGTGCATATATGAATAGGATAAAAATTTTTAAAGTAAAGCATTTCAATATATTTCTGTCCATGTGAGGCTTTTTTAAAAACACTCCACTGGAGTTCTGTCCTCTCTGAATAGTAAGCTGCACACCATGGGCTTCGGTACTTTCACATATACATGTGCGCTTTCCCACCTTGTGCTTGTTGGTGTCCCAGTTGTGCAGCAGGCGAGCTGGAATGAGGAAAGAGTTGTCCTGATGGCAGCTCTGGCAGTAGTACCAGCCGCTGTAATAACAGACCTTTGCTTTTCCCCTGGACAGCCCAACCGCCCTCTGACAACCTGAGGAGACAGTTGTTGGGTTAGCATGACTTGGAGGCACATATTTACAACTCGTTGGAACAATGACATGAACTCAAGTATGCAAATGTCTCTGTTTTCATGAAAAATAAACCCCCAAAGAGTCATCTTAATATCAAAACCCTGTATATAGTCAATTAAAGGCATCAGCAAGGAGGTCAATATGGATAGATCTGTTTGTTCACAGGCTAATTAGCCGTAAAGCGTTGCACAAATGATCTCATGGCGATAGCATGTCTGCTGAAGCAGGAAGAGTAGAAGGTTTAAAAGCAAATAACTTTACGTTAATAAGTGTCAGTTTATTGCACCGCACTAAATACCACTCAAAACCGGCCAAAGGGCTGCCAATATTGAACATAACAGCTGAAGTTCAAAAGGAGTTGTGACCCCAGCATGCTAATCTGTTGTATCGTGACCAATCGAAAACAGAGAATCCAATATATTAGTAGTAGGGGAGGAAAATAGTTCAGACATGTAACAGTAAAAAAGACAAAAGCTCTCCCTTTATTGATCATTTCTGACTTTTACAAAGTTATAGCATTAAAAGCATTACGCATACACGTTTAAGGAGGTCTTTTCCTGAAAATGTTTGTGTAGCCCTGTGGTTGAGACCTGTAAAAAGCTTTTATCTCAACCTTTTATCGCTTTATATACTATCAGGAAAATGGTAAATATTTAGAGCTTGAAACATACAAACAGAAACGGAAATAAAAGATTTTAATTAAGAGAGGTTTTTTTAATGGTTCAGCGTTAACTATCTTAAAAATCTTTTTTCAAAATGTATGCAAAATATACAAAAACGAAGGATGTCTCAAGTCTACATACACAATCATGTTAATTCATATGTATTTCAAAGAGAACTGTCCTCTTTTCAGGCCTCAAACTCATAAAACTGTGTGTGTTCACTAAATCAGATAAATCAGATTATCCTTTATCTACCAGAAATTTACAAGCCAAATTAATACAAAGCAATGTATAGATAACAGCCTTTTATATGCTAGTAGTCACAACACAGCAGCCTTCAATAAGACAGAGATAGATCTAAAAGACCAACAGATCCTTTGCCCTCTCTTCAACCTAATAGCTTCCCCATCCTGCTTTGTCTTCCAGGCTCTTTAAAGTTTGTCCTATACCCAAACATCCATGCCTGCTCTGTGATCACACACGCCTAAACAGCTGAGCACATGGGCGCTGCAACAGGTGTCCCTTATCCATACTATCTTAGAAAACATGGAGCCTGGAAGAAAACAGCAAAAGAAGAAAGGTCAAAATGAAAAGAGATCCTAAGATCGTTATCAAGGTTTCCAGAGTAGAGGCTTGTAAAGAAACAGGAAGAGAAGTCTGAACTAGTGGGACATGTGTCTGCGCGTTTGTCCCACATGAGAAATGATTTGTCAAAGACAAAGAGGAAATGGAAATAAAAACAGCTATTTAGAGATGGTAGTCAAGAGCGAACAGTACAGAGGAGAGGAAGAGAGATCAAGCAAGATGAAGGCAGACAATAGAGAGAAGTTAGTCCCACCACTTTTTTTTATAGATAGTAATCTGATGTCAGGAAACAGAAAATTCCTTCGAGGTGGACTGAAAAGGAGCTGCGTAAATGTATATACGACCTATATATATATATATATATATATATATATATGTACTTATATACATATATATATACTGTATACACAAACACACATACAGTCGTGGCCAAAAGTTTTGAGAATGATGCAAATGTTGATATTTACAAAGTCTACTGCTTCAGTTTTTTTACGGCAATTTGCATATACTCCAGAATGTTAAAAAGAGTGTTCAGCATAACAGCAATTAATTGCAAAGTCAATATTTGCCCAGAAAATGAACTTTATCCCCCAAAACACATTTCAACGTCATTGTTGCCAATAAGCCTCCAGGACGCCCAAGAAAGACCAGCAAGTGCCAGGACCGTCTCTTAAAAGTGTTTCAACTGAGGGATCGGGCTAGCAGCAGTGCAGAGATGCTCAGGAATGGCAGCAGGCAGGTGTGAGGGTTAGGGTTAGGGTTAGGGTTAGGGTCAGGGTTAGGGTCAGGGTCAGGGTCAGGGTTAGGGTTAGGGTTAGGGTCAGGGTTAGGGTCAGGGTTAGGGTTAGGGTGTGAGTGCATCTGCACGCACTGTGAGGCCGAGACTCCTGGAGCAAGGCCTGGTCTCAAGGAGGGCAGCAAAGAAGCCACTTCTCTCCAGGAAAAACATCAGGGACAGACTAATATTCTGAAAAAGGTACAGGGGGCGGACTGCTGAGGACTGGGGTAAAGTAATTTTCTCTGATGAATCCCCTTTCCCATAGTTTGGGACATCTGGAAAACGGCTTGTTTGGAGAAGATGAGGTGAGCGCTACTACCAGTCTTCTCTCATGCCAACTGTAAAGCATCCTGAAAACATTGTTGTGTGGGGTTGCCTCTCAGTCAAGGGAGTCTGCTCTCTCACAGTCTTACCTAAAAACACAGCCATGAATAAAGAATGGTACCAGAAGGTCCTCCGAGAGCAACTTCTCCCAACCGTCCAAGAGCAGTTTGGTGATGAACAATGCCTTTTCCAGCATGATGGAGCACCTTGCCATAAAGCAAAGGTGATATCTAACTGGTTTAGGGAACAAAACTTAGAGATTTTGGGTCCATGGGCTGGAAACTCCCCTGATCTTAATCCCATTGAAAACTAATGGTCAATCATCAAGAGACGGGTGGAAAAACAAAAACCTAGGAATTCTGACAAAATTCAAGCATTGATTGTATTTCTGTATGTGATGACAACATCTGATATACACACATGAAAACCAGAGGGCAGCAGATCATGTGTAAATATAATATTTGTGTCATTCTCAATACTTTTGGCCATGACTGTAGATAGATAGATAGATAGATAGATAGATAGATAGATAGATAGATAG